AAAAAAAAAAAAAAAAAAAAAAAAAAAAAAAAACATAGAAAAGTTGTAAATGAGAGTTTTAAAGAGTTAAGCTCAAGTTAAATCTAAGTTTGAAAAACAACTTCTCAAAAATTGGAAAAAGTCAGAAGTAGTCTTAATTTTAGCTGTAAATAGAAAATCAGCAGATTTTTAAACATTTTCTCAAGCTTTCCTCCTAGTTTTTCAAACGTCATGCAGAAATACAATTTACACAAAAGTCAACTTCTCATTTACTTACAGTCTTACTTTTTTATGCTTGCTTTTTCTTCAATAGATTTTTAGAATTTAGAATTTAACAAAAAAAAAAACCAAGAAATTTTATACATTAACTCATTTTTCACTCTCTCATTTAAACTTATCATGCACTGCTTTTTCTTCATAAAGATGAAGTTTTTTTTTTAAAAAGCAGCAACGCTATTTCGGAGAGCAAATTCCTCTTCTTTTTTTTAATTTTTTTTTGTCTTAAATTACTATTTTTTTGATTGATAATTGTTTACAATTTAGCTAAGCATTACACTGTTTGAATGCCGTAGTTGCATCATCAAACTTTGTCACTTGATGCCAAAATATCGTTGACAAATGTTGCACAGAATCCTGATCTTATAGTCAAAATCGGGTCATTTTTTTTAAAATATTTTTGAAATTTCGTTGAATTTTTTTGCAACTTCGAAATCTCAGTTAATTTATAGCTTTTAGTAATCATTTTTAATGCTTCTTTTCAAACATCATTGTTGTCTTTACTGCATAGTTGAGCAATAGAACAGCAGTCTGCATAGCAATAACAGCAGATGAGCAAAAACTTTCAGTTTTGATGCTAATCATTTCCTGTAAATTTTTTTTTGTTTTTGCAGCTGTGCTACCGGGTATTCTCTATTTGGATTCCACGTCGTTATGTATCAATTGTTGTGGAATCGTTACCGCGATACTTCGACATTGGTACCTTTGACCTGATGATTCATCCAGTTAAAGAGGAACGACAGTGTTTTAAAAAAATGTATTATCGTGCTATGAACAGTGTTTAAAGTGAACGGAAAAAAAAATAAGAAAAAAGAGAGCAACGAACAAGAAATTCTTGGAAATGTAGAAATTGTTGTTAATAACTCTATTACTGTTGTAAGTATACCGGTTTATTGTACATTCTGTATATTTATTACAATGGTACAAACAACTGTATTATTCTTTTAGCTTATGCATAAAGCAATTTTTTATTGCTTTACATTTATTTATTGTTTAAATTGCTTTCCCCCCCCCCTCCTCGAAATTTATTTATTGAGAAAAAAAGGCGCTTGAATATTATAAGCTTTTTTTTAGGCTATAAATTTTTAAAAAATTATGCAAATTGTGAATCTCAAAGAGAACTTTTTAGTTTTTTTTTGTTTTTTTTTTGTTTGTTTTTAATAGGTTTTTTTTAGCAAACCAAAATGTTTCTTTAAAATTAAAACTTTTGTTGTGTTTTGAAGAGCTTTAAACGTCAGATTGGCATAAGAAAAAGTTTAAAAAAAAAAAGTAGAAGTTAAAAGTAAAAAATAAAAAAAAGTGTTTATTTTTTTTTTAAATATTTGAAGTATTCAGCTTTTTTTTGGCAATTAAATGCAGTAATAATACTGGTATCAAAAAAAAAACAAAAGAACAATACAAATTGTCAAACAGTCAGTTTTTATCTGAGCTTTTTTTTTTTTTTTTCTATTTTTCTGCATTTATATTAATAATGAAAAAAAAATTTTTATAGACAACATTATATTGCAAAAGAATATTTTTGATAATCGCTAAAAAATTTATTGTAAACCTTTAAAACTGCCAATACACAAATTTGTTAAGTCTTTAAATTATGTTAAAACATTTTATGTCAACTAAATATTATTGTCAATGCATAAAACATGTTGTTTTCAATTTGATGCTTACAGCTTACAGATCAGCATTGATTTGAATACAGAAAACGATATTAATGGTAAAGGAACTGCTCATTTACAGCAAAAGGTTGTTTTTTTTGCATTCTGTAAAATTGACAATTACAAAAACATTATGTAAAATATATCTACTTTTTTTTTTTTTTTTTTTCGCTACCGACTATTCCACAATTTTTTTTTTCTTTACTCACAGTTGCTATATCCTTAACAGTCTTTAAGTAGCTAAAGTTTTTTTGTGCGCTGTAGATGCAAAGTAAAAGTTAAAAATTATTAGAAGCTGCAAAAGTAAAATGTCACATTCAATCAAAAATTTAAAATGAGAAAAAGAAAACTGTAAAACAAAAGCAGATAAGAAAATGCAATAAAAATAGCTTACAGAACTTGCAACAGTTTATTTGAAAAGAAACCAAACTTTTTTTTCTACACCTTTAATTAAACTTATATTTTTCCAGGTTTTCAAGACAAAAAAACTTTGACGACTAAGTTTAACCGGCTCTTCGGTGTTCATATCAAAAACTTTTTAATTATACTAGTAAGACACACAAAAAAAAAAGATGTGCTTTACGAATAACTTCTGTTATTTCCTTCTATGTGAATCTTTATAAAAAGTTCAATACAGGAAACTTACTTAAGCCATTGTAACAAAAAAAAATAAACTTGAAAAAAAAACCGAACAAGAAAAACTGACTGATAATTATTATAACAGTATCACTAATCTTTTCTTGTTGTGTATTATCTCTAAACGTGTGTATATGTATTATCTCTAAACGTTTGTTTTGTTTTTTTTTTTACAAACCTCTTAGCACTGCTTTATATTGTCCAATATAATTTTTTATTATTTGCTTGCAATTTTGAACGACAGTTTTTACTTAAACCATGTCTTTTAAGTTTAACTCGATTTTTGTTTTCGTAACACGTATACATATTGAGACCCACAGTTCACGTGAAAGTACTGTGTACATAAGTTTATAGGGTTTGGATTTCTTCCATAAAATATGTCGAGAAGATCAAACCCTAAACAGTGTCTCCGTAAAGAAACGTTTTTATGAGTTCATGTTTGAGACTGCTTTTTGTTCAATTTGAATAACTTTAAAAAAATTTAAAGATTAAAATTGAAAAACTGTACCTACTTAATTAATTGCATAACGAAAATTTCTGAGAGAGCTAACTTAAAAACAAAAAATTGCTTAAAATACTGTGAACGTACCTTCAAACATCATAGGTAGTCGTATTTCTCCGTAAATTCTATGCACATTGAAATAAATGCTGTCTATACCTGTCGGTAAACCAAGGAAAACTAGACCGTTATCTTTTAAAAGGCACCATATTTTTTGCATTTCACGAATATCTCCAATCGGATCTGAAAATTTGATGAATGATCAACCTTTATCACATAAAAAAAATGCGAAAAAATTTAACAGTGTAACCTAGGGGATCGCCGTACCGACCCAGACCACTGTGCTCTATGCTGGAGAATGAAATTATAAAATCGAATTTTCCTTCGTATCTAAATTCTCAAAGAATACAGTTGAAAAAGCAGACATCAAGAAAAAAATAACAGAAGATTCTTAGAAACACAAAACTAGCAACAAAAGCAGTTTGATTATTAGTTTGTTAGCAAAGCAAAATAATTTCAAAATTTAATTGGCTTTACGTGCAGAATAACGAATAGAAACATTTTGCTTGACAGCAATTGAATTTACTTTTCCCATTGTCGACTAAGCTCTATCGGATGCATGTAGCTTAATTTTTCATGATCACTAATAATCTTGGCATATTCCAGTGTAAGTAGCTAAAATAACAAGTGTTTTCCATTCAAATTAGATGAGGCATTTTATTCAAATGCTTGTTTTTTTTTCTTTTTTTTGTTAAAAAAAAGAATAGTATGGCATACAATATTATATTAAAGCAAACGTTATGTTGCTACATTTTTCTGCAAAGGAGAAACTTATATTACAAAACGTTGAAGTAATATCAACAGAACAATAACTTCAAATAATGGTAAAGCATTTTCATTCAAACATAGACATTTCTTCTGTTAACTCTTCTAAAATGATCGTTCAGAAGGCAGCTTATAATGCATCCAAAGAACCTACTTTTTTTGCTCCATTTCTTAAACAAATGGCTTCTACCCATGGACTTCTTGAACCCACTACGACACCACTGAGACCTGTTATATTATAGTACGCAGTTGAAAAAAAAACAGCCGCTGCAAAATTTTTTCTTTGTTGTTGTCTCCTTCGCTTTCTTTTGACTCAATTTTAAGTCGTGTGTTAAAAGTAGAAAATAGTACCCATTGAAATGGATTTTTAATAACTAACAATGAGTTATACAGCGTGATAAACAGACTTATCTTTAGACTTCTTCCTACAGCAAAAAAATATATTGTACAGCTCTAAGTTTCAAATCAGTCAGATATACCTCCTTCTTCATCGTAACCAGTTTTGGGCATTCGACGACTCGCCAAGTATTGAATATAATTCTTTCCCCATACCAAATCACCAGCATGAGTTGGTCGCTCGTCCAAATAACTGAAGCAAAGCTTATCATGAAAATTCTTTACTGCCAGATATATTACACTGAACAGTAGTCAACAGTTAAATGACCGTTCACGAACCTTTAAGAACGAGTAACCGCTATTATTATATTAACTAATAATATTGAAAAATCAAGTATGGTGTAAATTTTTGAAACATTTACACCTGTTGTCAAAATGATGCAACTGAACAGTTAGCAAATGGTGAGTAAAACAAGAAAAAGAAAAATATTCGAGATACGTCAACTTATTATTATATACTTTTACAAAAACCAAGTTTAAAATTTGCATTTTGACATAACTGTTTAGCATTTTAAATAGCTATCAATTTTTTGTTCACAGCCAACAGCATGTCAGTGCTTAACCATGAAAGTCATTGAGCTGAATTTTATAAAAAATTTTATTGTACGAAAGTGCAAATTTTCTGAAATTTCTTGTCAAAAGCCGCATAGTAATACACATGTCCATGTCTGCTTTATCTTCATGCCAGACTTGAATTCTACTAAAATGTACTAATTTATTTATTCGTCAATTACCACTTACTTTTCAATAATTATTATCGATGCACGAGCCTAGTTATTATATTAGCTCTTATTACTCAAAACTAAACTAATAAACAAAACCTGAAAAAAAAAAAATAACTAAAATTTAGTTTATAGTAACAGTAGCTTGGAAGAAACAGCTTACTTACTTTTTTGCACTTTTACTCTGGTATGATTAGGTAAAAATAGGTTCGTCCATAACGAAAATTATTTTGGATTAATAACTGAATATAGTCACTTCAAGAAGAGCAACTTACGCGAACTCTCTATATACGAATCCGTTCAGTGTATAATTTAAAAAAAGGTTATCAGGAATTGCTCTTGGTGGCGTTGCATCAGCATTGTAAGATTCTGCTCTTTTAAGCCATTCTTTAAACACCTGCAACAAATCAACGTCAAATTAAAATGTCAGATCCAGTTGAGACATTAATATTGAAAATTAATGCTGCAGCACTAGATGCTACAGCAGGTTGTAAAAAATTAATACCTCTCCGCAAGTTTTCTTTTTTTTTTGCTGTAAAATAAGAAAAATTTTTTTTCCTTTTATAGTATAACCAAAGCTATTATAAACGCTTTTTTCAAGTACTGAGTCAGGATCTGAATATCTAAGAACAGTCTCTGGTTTACCAGCACGAAAATTAGCGCCAGAGAGCGACGGACACGTTGCGCTGCAAAAAGAGTGGTGACAATATGAACAGTCATTAAAAAAAAAAAAGATAACAAAAATTGCCATAACTAAGTTTATTTAATTCAATTTATTCAGTTACTTTTTATTAAGATTAGAATATTCAATAAATTTTTCGCAAGTTGAATCTCTGTAGTAGTGTTTGGTTGCAGTAAAAATTAACCACAGTCCAGTCTGGTAGAGACATAGTTGAAGTAATTTCCAAGGTTCAGAAGTGCGCCGCATATGCTAAAAAAAAAAAACAGCGGTTGGTAGCTGCAAAGTAAAGCCGTTTCGCGTTAGGTTGTAGTTTTTGCTGACAAATATCAAATTTCAAAAGGATCTTGCTCTTCGGTAATTTTTTGCACTAAAATGGAAAAATAGATGTCTCTCTAAACCAAAAAAGAGTAAAATTTTATTCAGAATACAACCAATTTTGCTTATTTTAATTGAAAATGTCTTTCTGTTCTAAGGCTTTCGCGCATTAGAACGAAAACCATAAAGAATTGATAAAACCAGTTTAATGAGCAGCAGTGGAATAATACGTTGAGCACTTTTTTGAGAGCATTTACAACGGTAGGTAACTTTATCTACCTGAAACTTTATCTACCTGCAACAACACTTCCACTACCTTTTTAAATACAATTTACTAATGATTAAAAAATGCGAAAAGAATAAATTTTCTTGTCAATAAATTTGATAGACTAAAAGATAACAGTGACACTAGTATATTTCAGTTGATCAGACAACGTATAGAATGAAAACAATTGTTGATGGAAAATCCATTTATAAAGAAATTAAATTTTTCTAATTTTTGAACATCGCAAAGCTATAGAAAAAAATTGATTAATAAGTTTTCTGAGTAATAAACAAATAAATGAAGAATTTTAAAACTGCAACGGATAAACAGAGTATTGTCAAAAAATAGTTAAAAAAAAGGTAACTTAAAAAACGAAGTACGTGCTAGGCCAGAAAAGACTAAAGTTTGTTAAGCTTCTTGAATTATTTAGCGAATTAATGAGATATTAATGACACATTTCCCAACAGATGCAGTGGCTGTCGCTAAATTAGCGAAGAGATCTGATACGTAACAAAGAGAACAATGTTAAGATTGAACAGTAAAAATCGCAAGATTAAAGTGAAGAGAGTGTGCCCTCGTAAGGACGCAGGTGACCCTTGCAGTAGACCACCGTGATTAATGTAAAAGATTTAGGACTCTCCGCCTAGTGCCAACCGGAATCGCCAGAGATGTTTACGAGCTAACTGCCAACTGCTCTTTCTCCTAACAACAGTAACGCAGCTGCAACTGGGCTTATAACCTCTGGTTGTCAGGAAAAGAGGTAAACAATTTGTCGATTATAACTAATTGCTAATGTAGTAACACAATATAATATAATATCAACATTACAACGTATTTTATTATATAATTAACTTGTTTATAGTATCTCAAGGAAACTGGTTAGTATAAAAAGAAGAAGAACAAATAACTGGGCTTCTTCTTCCTCATCACCTTCTTCTGCCCTTTTACTGTTTTCTTGAGGAATTTCCCCTTCACCGACCTTTGCTGAGACATCTACTGTGGTAAGTTCCCGTCACCAGTTTCCTCATACAGTCACTAAAATTGCTATTTCCCATATATCAACTGTACTGCATTTGGACAGAAATAAACGATTATGCTCGCAGAACGTAAGTTACATAAAAGACCCGCCTGGCAGGACGTTTTCGCTCAGCACAGCAAATGCAGAGGGAATCTTTACGCTGATATTCCCTCTTTTGTCAACTCATAAAGTTAAAAACCCCCAGAAGAACTTGATTCTGTGACAGCGACTGATGGTTCCCAGTAAAGGCCAAGCTTCAGAAGTCATGCTGTCTGCAATTCTTTTTGGATTACTTCCAATGGCTCTTCTTAAACTGCCATTGTATAAATAAAACAGTCTATGAAAAAAAAAAAATTTTTATTGATTCATCTTTGTTTCAGGTGTCGGTCATCTGCAAAAAACAGTAGTAAACTTTTTATGAAAAAGAACGTCATTTGCTCTATTTTCTCTATTTTCTATTTAAAGTAAAAAAAGTGTTCATTTGAATTGAAAGTATAAAAAAGAAAGAGAAAAGCACGCAAATTAACAGAAGATAACAGATTAGTCTTTCAATAGTATAGTGTAACGTATTCTTAAATAATTCCGTAACTTGTGAAAAGTTTGAACGATAATGGCTGAAAAGTGTTGCGTTGCTATTCAGCCTACAACGCGCGAGTTCCTAATGTGTCCACGTTCAGAAGAGAAAGAATGCTTCTACTCGAATAACGCAAGCAAAAGAAAAAGATTGTAACAAAAAGAACCATAAAGAATAGAATAGAAATAACGCAAAAGAAAAATAGAAATAGCCCAAATGAAGAGCTTATTTATAAGGCATCAGAATGACCACAGATAGATCAGTGGTCATCCGATTTAAGATCACTGCAATAGTAACAGAGGGAGTGGACCTTAAGAAGAGAAATAAGTAACACCTAACACCTCCCCACCAACAAAGCGACTCACTGGAGCGAACTACAGAGAGGCATCGCGGACGTGCCCAAAAAACAGTGCGGGCTCTCATTACTTGAGCCCGGAACACAACGAGGAGAAAGTTTACCTTCAAGGACGTTCCCAGATGAGCGGTAGAAAGCTAAGGTAGTCTGAATAACGACAGAGTACAGCGACAAAGTTTAAAAAAAGAGAAAGAAAAGAAGAAGAGACAAGAAGAAAAGATAAACCTGAGAACTCAATTGTATAAATTTTTGTTTGGCTGCATCATTAAACTGGCTGAAACTGGCTTCTTGAACTGGCTTCTTCACTCTAGTCAATCTCCAAGGAGGTTCTTTCACATCATGCTCTCTTCCAAAAACCAGACAACAAAGAATTTGTCTTCTTCTTGGTTTCAGGCTCTTTGTGTTTGAAGTAACGTGGTGTTTGTCGTTATCAGAAGCTTTGGTGTCTCCGTGATAAACCCAGAGCTGGTTTGCGTGGCGGGTTAGCGACTGTCCTGAAACTGTTGCTAATTCGTAAATACGATTGCCCTTCTCGCTTTTAACGACTGCTGGTACCCAGGTCCTCTCTGCACCGTACATTCATGCATAGACCTTTTGATTTGCTTGAAATTCTCGCTTAGAGGTGCCATGTTTTCTGTTGAACTGTTGTGTCATCTTGGTCTCGGTCTTCTAGGACACTGAAGAAGGAAGTAATAGATTCAAGGTCGAACGCAACCTTTGTATTTGTAGAAGTTTAGCTGGTGTCTGATTCGTAGTCGGATGTTGCGTATTTCAGTAGTGGAATGAAAACTAATGTACTTTTTAGAAACTTGATGTTTGACTAATTTTGCTTAGTGTGCGCTTGGATGTATCAACAAAACGTTTAGCTAATCCATTACTTTGCGGGGTGATAGGATGGACTTAACAACTGCTGGATGCCATTTTGCAAACAAAAGGTCTGAAATTCTTGCAATTTGAAGGACGGACCATCATCAGTAATTAATGTCTCTGGTAACCCGAATCCCACGAATGTTTTGTCTGACGCTTGAATGGTTGCCGTCGCAGTGGTTGAATTTACTCTGAATACTTCAGACGACTTGGAATAGAAATTCACAAGAATTAAAAAATAGAGACCTTTCTTTGCTTCTGCAAAATCAGCATGCAACCGTATCCAAAGTTTAAAATGTGCTTTACTCGGCACTTTTGCAGTAGTAATGCAGAGGGAACACTGCTCTGCGCAGATTTCAATGCCGCTGTCAATTTTTGGCCAGTAGCAGTATTGACGAGCAATAGATTTCATCCTCTGGATACCTAGATGTACAGAATGTAAATCTTTAATCACTTTGTCTCTCAAAGATACTGATATAACTGCTCGAGAATTCCAGAACAGACATTCATTTGACACCGATATGTCAGATTGTTTTGAGAAATAAGGAGCAAGTTCCGAATTTTGTAAGGAATTTGACCACTTTTTTGAACATGTTGAACAACTAAGGATAATATTTTGTCTTGACTTATGGCATCTGCTGGATCTTTCGCTGTGACCGAAAGAGAATCTAACAATCTTGCGAAAACTTGATTGACCTGATTTTGCGATGGATTTCTTCAAATTCACAGTCAAACCCACATGGTAATCTTGAAAGTCCATCCGCATGATCAAATTGACGAGTAGAACGATATTCAATTTTAAAAGAGTAATTCATCAGAAAAAACGCCCAGCGCTGTAGGCGGTTAGCGGCTAAAAGTGAATTATCTCTTTTTGTGCCAAAAATGGTGACTAGCGGTTGGTGGTCGATCAGTAAAGTGAACTTACGCCCCCACAGAAATTGGTGAAACTTTTCAACTGCAAAAGCAATCGAGAATGCCACTCGCTCAATTTGAGAATAATTTTGTTTAGCTGTGGTCAGAGAATATGAAGCATGTGCAATCGGCTTTTCTGAGCCATCAGGAAACGGTAAAATAGCACAGCCCCTACTCCATGGTTTGATGCATCAGAAACAATAAGAAGTTTTTGATCTGGCTGAAAGCATGTTAAAAACACTGGTGAAGAAGTCGTCGCCAAATGGAATTGGTAAATGCGCATCTGACAAGTCCAAATGGGAGAAGAAATTACCACCATTAAGTGTTGCAAAAATGTCGTCAGGCGTAGGCAATGGAAACTGATGTATATCATCTGCTGGATTAAGTCCAGTTGCGAAGTCAGTGTGAATTCTAAGTTTGTCGTTACCTTTTTTAACAACTACAATCGGTGCTCCCTACTGCCGGTAAAGTACAGGGGATATAATGTTTTGATCTACCAGTCGAGACAGTTCTTTCTCTAGCAGAGGACGAAGTGCATATGATAGAGGACGCTTAGGCCGAAAAACTGAAGTAGTATTTGGCTTCAGTTTTATGTGTGCTTTCATTTGTGTGCACAAACCGAGATCAGGTTGGAAGATCGACGTAAACTGCGAAGGAAGTTTTGACAAAGCCGAGTTTTCTTGAATAGCGTTGCAAAAAGTATTTAAAGGCGCAGTATTCAGACCTAACAAAAAGATAAGATCGCGTCCAAAAATACTATGGTTACTCGTTTTCAAAACACGAAGAAGTGAAGAAAATACTTTGCCGTGAAAATGAACATTAGTGGTGACTTCACCAGCGAAAGCCAATGGGTAGCCTGAGTAACTATTGTCGCAAATAGAAATTGGAGACAATGATGGAGAACCAATTTTCTTCCAGGTGTCTTGACTGAGAATAGCGAATGGAGAACCTGTATCTAAAAGAATCCTGAAGGGGCTTGAGTTCATTTGCAACTGAACAGCAAACAAGCCTGTTTGAGGCACTTAAGAAGTAGTGCCCATTTGTGGCGGAGCAATAATTGAATTAACCAAAGAATGAGAGCGCTTAAAAGTAGCCTTAACGTCAAAATGTGTTTTGCATCGTGTGTTCTGAGGTTAGGGGGAGCATAATTAGAGGAAGAATTTTTACTTTTACGAACGGTGGCAATATGGCCTTCCTTGTGGCACTCATAGCACTCTGCATTCCTGAATTAGCAGTCCTGACGGCTATTTTTTGCTCCACAACTTAAGCAACAACCTCACTGTATTTTGGTTGTCAAGTTGGTCGACTCCTGAGAACTACGGCCTATTGAAATAGAGCTGACTGGTGGACGAGAATCTTCAGATCCTGGCTGTAGTGTCTCAGCTGCAAATTGCGTGTGCTTTTGAGCAATGGATAACGCTTGGTTTAAAGTACAATCTTCCAGCTCCAGAAACTTTGCTCTTACATGCGGATCGTTTATACCCATTGTAAGAACGAGAGCTAGTGCCGGCTCATAGAAATCGTCTAATGAACATTAAGCTGCCCTTTCTTTGATTGTATTTGCAAATTCAAGAAAAGATTGGCTGCCTTGTTTCAGATGGGAAAGACGATATCGCTCCACAAAAAGAAGAGTTCTGACGCTATACATTCTTTTCAACTGATCAACTAACGCTTACAATGTAAGCTTAGTTATGTCATTAGGTTGAACGAACGCAGACAAAGATGGATAAACGTTTGACGATAAGGAACTGAGAAGAAATAAAAGTTGATTTTCCTTTTCTACTTTTGAGATAATGAGGAAAACTTGAAATCTTGATTACCAAGAAAGAATGTCGTCCGAAGCTGGATCGAAAGGCTCTGAAGGATGTGCAATTAAATGAGACATTGACATAGTGCACTCAAAATACAATGAAGAAGAATCAAAAAAAAAATAATAATACAGATCGCCAATTGTTGCGTTTCTATTCAGCCTACGAGACGCAAGTTCCTAATGTAACCACGTTTAGAAAAGAAAAGAAAGAATGCTTTTACTCAAATAACGCAAGCAAAGAGAAAAGATTGTAACGAAAAGAACAATAACGAATAAAATAGAAATAACACAAAAGAAGAATAGAAATGGCTCCAATGAATATAGGGGCTGAAGTAATAATATACTGGGGCAGAACTGACCAAATGAAAAAAAGAAATCTTAAAAAATTTTTGGTGTGGCTGACAACGCGGAATTTTAGTTTTTTTTTTCACAATTTTAGTCTTGGCTGCTAGAAATTTCTTTACAAAAATTCAATGTGGTGCTGCAGTTTCAAAAAAGCAGGTGGCAAGAATTGTTAAAGAAATCGCAAGCGTTCTATTGGTGGCAAGTGGAGTTCAAAAATTTTGTTTGATATTAATTTTAAGTGAGAAAAACAGATGAGGCGAAAAAAAACTGCCGTTTAGAGCAACGGCAAAGCTTTGCGAGGGGGCTACAATTAACCACCCCACTCTTCAAAACTGAAACTTTCATTTACTTCAAATGCCTCGATCTACTGAAGCAGTTACTAGGAACAAGATTAAACACTTGATTCCGAACTTTTTTATTATACTTTCTAATTTAATTTTTAAACGGTAATTTATAAAGTTATATTATAGCGTAAACAATTAAAAGTCATTTTATTTTTATAAATATATATGGGCCATTCCATGCCAAATCGCAAACCTTCGTACACCACCCTCTCAGATTTTTTTCATTTTTTGCTGATTAGTAGAGTCTGGGCTAGCATAAAGGAAGCCGCAAAGAAAATCCAGAAATGTGAATTCCCCGCCAAGTTACACCCCCCAGAGTGTCTAAATTTGCCACGTTGCCGCCTGACTTGCCTATCTTTGGAGGCTTGTAATTTGGTTCGTTCTCAACGTAATTAAACGCCTTTTGATACACTTCTCATGTCTTGAACTTTCGAAAGAATGTTGAAAAATTTAATTTCAATGAAAACGCGCAAATATACAATAAAAACAAAATTTTGAAAAAACATAAAAAAACGTGTCTTTAAATTTTTCAAAAAAGATACATTCTGTGTAGAATTTTTTTCTCTACAACATATCAAAATTTGAAGATGGCAATTTATTGATACCGGGAGCTACGAGCCA